AAGATCTTTAAACAAATTTGATAATTTAGTTAAATGCTATCCTTTTAAATATTTGCAGACAAATTTGCATGCAATTTTATTTAATAATTAAAATTATTAATAATAATTTTAAATATTTTTAAAATGATTTATTTAAAAATTAATATTTTTATAATAAATTTTATGATATTTTCTAAGTAAAAATTCAAAAAAAATTTAATTAATTAATAATATTTTCAAGATAAATATATGATAAATTATTATGAAAAAAAGTTAAAATTTTAAACTTATATAATCTTACTATCTATTACTCCCAAAATATGAAAATATAATCATTTAATAGGTTTAAATAAGATATATCCAATAAACTAAATTTTATTTTTTATAATTTTTTTTTAAAGATATGATAATACTTATATTTATTATGAAAATTCAAATCCAGTAGATTAATATATAAAAATCCTAAAAATCAAATACAAAATTAGAAAAAAAAATAAATTGAATTATCTAAAATATCTTTATAAGATAAAACTTATTAGCTCTAAACCAATCAGTCATACTGCTATACTCTGAAAATAATCATTAATAGAGTTTCCATTAATGTATGATAACTAGATTATTATTATATTCTTCTCTTTTTTATAATAATAATTCCTATCCTAAATTTAAATTTAATATAAAAATAAGTAACTCAAATTATTGTTAAACTAAAAAAAAAACTAATAAAAAAAATTGACTTCAATAAGTTTTTAATTAAGTTATCTGGTTAATTTCTGATTACAGCAACCTCTTAGCACAGGAGTACCTATATTATTAAATTCTGTCAAAAGCTCTTTGATACTCTTAAACTTTTATGCTAAGATATCTATCAATTCAGATTACAGCTACTAGTAGTCATTGCATAAAGCTCAAATTATACAGTTGTGAGAAACCAGAAAATCCTGCTAAGATTAATAGGCTCTATGATATCATAGATCTAGAAAGAGTGTGCTTATTTAAAAAGATAATGGGAAAATTATCATGTACATTTAGTTAATTTAAAGTTATTACCAATTTTGATCATTATTTGGGATACTTCCTGATGTTTTCACTTTTGTAGGCAAAAAGAAAAAGAAGAAAAAATGGAAAAAACAGCTATAAAAATTGCAAAAAAAATATTAAAACAAAAAATACCACCGTTTGGATTAATAAAAAACTGTTTTTTGAATTAAAAGATTTGAAAGAATAAAGAGAGAAAGAAGTTTGAAAAGTGAATTTTATTTTTTGTTCATTAGCTAATCTGTAATTACCCTTGAATATACACATTTTCTACATAAAAATTCTTGATTGAGTAATCATTAGAGTTATATATTTTTTTATTTTCTTATAATTATTAGATAATAAGTTATTTTAAAAACTTAAATAATTGAAAAATTAATATATATTAATAATTATTGATTTTAAAAATTTAAAAATACTATTATTAGATACATTTTAATATAATAAATCTAATAAACTTTATTTCATATTTTATAATTACTGATATTTAAAATATTATAATTTTCTATAATATTTTATAACTAATTTATATTTATGCTTTAAGAGATATATGCGAAAAAGTGATAAATTTTAAAATCCTATTTCTTCTTTTTCTATTATTTATCTTTTTTCTTGATTTAATTGATTAATTAACTAGTATATTTTATTTATTTTATAGATATTTTCTTTAAAGATAAAGTGAAGCTATATTTTAATACTACGAATTATACTAAGCTCTTCAGAAAATATTATAAATTAAATAATAAAATAAATAATAGAAAAAATAATAAAAAAATTTTGTTAAGTATTTGACTATTTCATTATGATAGGCTAAAAGATCCATCTGAAATGCTACATGCACTTACTTTTATCTAAATAGGCAGAATCATTCCTAATCTACTAAATTTAAAAATGTAATTATTTAATCATAAATGAATAAATATTATTCCTCTTTTGTGATACATTATATAAAATTTATTAAAAAATATTAGGATTGCTATTATAATAATTTTAATTTTATTATATTTTTATATTTTTTTTATATTTTTTTCTTCTTTTCTATTCTTTTTTATTATTATTTTTAATTTCAGTTTTATTACTTTTTTATTTTTTTAATCTTTATTTTTAATTTTATATATTTTTTTTATATCCTTAGCCTTATTTAATTATTTCATTGTTTTTATTTTTTTATTCATTTCCTTTATTCTTTTTTTTATTATTTTTAATTTCAGTTTTTTTACTTTTTTATTCTTTTTTTAATTTTTATTTTAATTTTAATTTTTTTTAATTTTTTTTTTAATTTTTAATTTTTATTTAGTAATTTATATTTTTATTATTCTTTTTATTTTTTATTTATTTTTTAATTTCATTTAGTAATTTTTTTTTATTTAATTTTAGTTTTGTTTTTTTATATTTTTTTTTATTAATTTCAAATTTTTATTTTTTTTTAAATTTTAATTTTAGTTTTGATTATCTTTTTAGTAGTTTTAATTTAATTTTAATTAATTAATATTTCAACTTTTTAGGCTATAAATTATATTTAAATATATTATTTATTTTTCTAAGAAATTGAATTTTTGATTTATTTTTTAAATAATAATTGCAATTTTTAATACATTAGATATTTATTATCCTAAAATCAGAGACATTATTTGAATCAAATTGCTAGTAATAAATAATAGAAATAATAATAAAAAGAAAATTTTATTATATATCTGACTGCATTACTATGACAAGCTGAAGGTATTATACTCACATTCATCAGAAAGGCAAATTAGTCCTAACCAAAATTGAAAAAAGCTATTAGATTTGATTAATAATCAAAAGAATAAAATAAAATAATAAAAAAAGTAACCACCTTACTATGCTACTGTGATGAACCAAAGTGATAAATCTATTGATCTAACCTATAAAATTAAAAATTGAAAAAAAATAAACAAAATTATTAATTAATAATTATGAATAAATTAATTTATTATTAATCAAATCAATACCTAATAATAGGAATAAAAAATATATAATAATATAAATAACAAAAAAAATTTCTTTATTTACCTGATTATATCACTTTGATAGAATTAAATTCGTTTTTTTTAACAAAAAAAAAAAAAGAATATTTAAATAATCTTTATTTCTTGAAGTAGATTCATCCTCTAAGTTTACCTCTACTTTATCTTCTACCTTTTAGTATTAAAGTTATTAGTATTAGTATTAGTGTTAGTGTTAATGTTAATATTAGTGTCAGTATTAGATTTAGTATAATATTAGTATAAGTGTTAATATTAATATAAGGTAATAAGATATTAATAATAGTCTATCATTAGCATACACAAATTACTTAATAAGGAAATTTTTTATCACTCAAAGGCCTTAGAAATCTAGTTACACTAATAAAATCACATTAGATTATTTATCATAATACTGATCCTCCTTTATAAAATTATTTTTAATTTTTATGTAGTAATGCTTTTTCTTTTTTAATTTAATTTATTAAATTTATTTTGACAAACATACCATTGAATTAAAAATTATTTTATGTTAAAAATATAAATTTTTAAAAATTTTAATAATAATACAATACAAATCAGAACAAATTGTCTAAAATTCGTACTATACTATACTGGTTCTATAATAAAGCTTTATTAGTCTGAAGCATTAGCATATACACTACTTGAAAATAAGTTTATGCGGTCAGTTTTTTGGATTTTATTTGAAATTGTATATAATAAAATCAATTGATTTTGATACCAATCGAAAGTGCTGATTCTTTTTTATATAACTGTTTGTTATTGTAATGCATACAAAATAAAAATAACTTTAAATCATAAATAAATATAACGTAATGATAATCAATCTGACAACTTATTTCTAACAAAATGGGTAAAAATCCTGAACTTACCGTTATTGAATGAGCACAAATAATCGGACTATATAAAAGTGGTCACAGAAAGTCTGATATTATTAGAATTATAAATCGACCAGATTCCACAGTTAGAATAATAATTCAACGATATGGAGATTCAGATAACATGTTAAGCAAAAAAAGAAGTGGTCAGCCTCCATTACTTGATGATAAAGATCGCAAAATTTTAAAAAAAATTGTTAAAAAAAATAATAAAGCTTTAGCTGATATAATACAAAAGAAATTTTCAGCAACAACTGGTCAAGATATTTGTACCAAAATGATTCAGAAGAATTTGCATCAAATTGAATACAATTCTTATTGAGCTGCAAAAAAACCACTTTTAAACAAAAATCAACGCCAAAAATGGCTAGAATGGTGCTTAGAAAGACAAAATTGGACAGTACAACAATGGAGAAATGTCATATGGAGCGATGAATCAAAGTTTATCGTAATGATGGTCCTTCTTGAGTTTGGCGTAAACCAGGCACTCATTTTAATATTGAAAACCTGAATCCATCCATTAAACATGGTGGTGGCGGAGTCATGGTTTGGGGATGTTTTTCAGGCAAAGGATTGGGTCCTTTAGTGAAAATAGAAGGAATAATCAATCGGCATGATTATATAAAAATCTTAGATGATAACCTGTTGCCATTTATTGATTCAAAGTTTCGTAACCGATCTTATAAATTTCAGCACGATAATGCACCCATTCTCACAGCTAATGATGTTAAAGCATGGGTTGCTAAAAAAAAAATTAAAATGTTAATTAATTGGCCTGCTCAATCTCCGGATTTGAATCCAATTGAGCATCTTTGGGATCATCTTGAACGTTCCGTTGCGTAACCGTTCGGATCTGCCTAAAAATCTTGCAGATTTAGAAGTACAACTAAAAGAAGAATGGAAAAAAATTCCGCAAGAAACTTACTAAAATTAATTGATAGTATGTCTCAGAGAATAGAAGCATGTATTGCCAATAATGGTTGGACAACTAGATATTAATATTTTGTTAAAAAAAAAAAAACGATAATAAACTATTTTTTCAAAACCGCGCAAACTTATTTCCAGGTAGTTTAAGTATATACTACGCAAAGTGATAAAAATGTCTGGACTTAATAACAGCCCCCGTTTCCCTGGTATATACTACCAATACAGTATGGTATTTGTGAAAAATAAAAAAATACTGATCTGCAACATTGTACTATACCGACTTTCCTTATACCCTGAAATTGGAATCTCAATTTCAGACAATTGAATTTCATTTGTAGATTAAAATTGTTTTAATATTTAAATTTTGAAAACAATTAATGGAACCGAATATACAAAATTCCCAAATTTCCATGGAGTAAACAGCATTTTTATAGATAGCATATACTGTATCTCAATACACAAAATTATATTCTTTCAATGTATGAGCAATGGATACGGCTTGTTTAATTAATTTAGTGGATTTTATATAATTCCTGTGATACATTAACGCATTAACATAATCATGAATCATTAACGACATGTACTTACACATTCGTCTAAAAATAAAATTTTACACTTGGAAGTAATTTGCTTATTTCACTAGGTTCATTTCTAAGCTTAACTTTCTATACTATGTTGTATTGGAATCGATTTCGTCTTTCAACAGACTAATCAAATTCGAATAAAAATAAAATTATCATAATACTAGTGTGGCCTGAGACCAAAAATAGCTTTCGGAAACGATTCAAGCTGAAAGACGAATCTAAAAAGAATGTTGTGTTATGCCCCAAGTTATGGATCTGTCCCAAATTAAAATTTTAATTTCATCCGAAAAAGTAAAACATAAACCCGAAAATAAAGGAAAAAAATCATCGCTTGTTGCAGAACAAATACAAAAACAGAAAGGTGTTATAGGCCCAAATGTGTTAATGTCCGAAATGCGCATTTCGGACATTTTGAGAACATAATTTCTTTATTGCGTTCAAACAGTGACCATAGGAATCGCTGCATCCAAATAATTTGATTAGAATAAATTCAGAATCTTTTTTTTTTTTTTTTTTAAAAAAAATAGATGTTGATCAATAATTGCAAACTTATGGCATTATTCTTTAGTCACTTGCTCATTCCCATTAAATGCGTTTATTCCGACCACAAATTCTTTGAAAAGCGTAGTATAAATGAATAAAAACTAAAAATCAAAGCAATATTGGGAATATTATTCTTTTCTTTATTTAAATTAATAAATAATATAATATATTAGACCTTTTCTAATTTTATTTTAAAAAAACATTTCATGAAAAGAGCAGGAAAACTTTCCAACATTTATGATAATATAGATTCAAATTTAAGTTTTGTATTTCACATTGTGTGGGAATTATTAATATATCAAATTTTGAGTAATATTAATGTTTTCCCGCGGGGAAATAAGTGAATTTATATATGTTCGCACTCCACATCAAACAAATTCTATCAGCAAGAAAGTTTAAAGAATCAAGGTCATAATGAATCACATTCCTCAAATCTAGTATTTATAATTGTCAAAATGATAATTAGATCGTAAATTTCATGTGTTTTTATTTATGAAAAATTTGCTATGTTGATAGATTAATAAAATTTACTGTTAATAAATAAATCCACCGGGATAATGATTGTATTTTTAAACTTAAATTTAAATTTTTCGAATTTTTTAACACAAGTTGGATATGTTAGCATTGACTGTGATTATCCTATCCTGAAATTATTGAATTTTTATCTAATATTATAATAAATAAAGGTAGATTATAATGATGATTATATAATTAACATTGCAAATTTATAATATAAATTAAACATTGTGAAGATTTTGGATCAATGATTTCAGGAAACAAAGGTAAAAGATCCTTTTATAAATTTGGATTCTATGATGTCGATTGATAATTAAAACTTTGTGAAAATAAAAGTTTGATATCATTAATTGAAAAAATATACTATCATAATATAAAAAAAAATCATTACTTACATATATATTATTTACAGAAACGATGATGTTAATTCAAATTTTCATACATCATTAATATATTTATTTCTCATCGACTCGACAATTATACACCTTTAAATTAAGTGTTCATAAATTATTTTTGATAATTATAATCTGGGACTTATATAATTTATATTAATTCTTAACCTCATCACTAATAATTAATTTATTTTGATTAGTCTTGTGAAATAATAAAGGAAAGAAAAAAAATAACATACCTTTTGTGCGGATCAAAGAAATTACATTCAATTTGTTTCTTTGAAATTTTTAACGCACAAATAAGACAATCATTGCTCTTATGCTTACAATCAATATTTTTCATTTTAATTAGATTAAATTTTTGTCTTAAAAAAATTGGACCACAATTTTTCTCGTTCGTGGAATATAAACTAATATATTTTGGTTTTAAAAGATTATTAAGTTCGATATATGAATTTTGATTAAAATACAGTGTACCGTAAGTATTAGGGTGATAATTTTTAATTGAAAGAGTATAAAATTTAAATTTAGGTAAATTAACGTAATGATTTTTCTCCAAACAATAAGAAAATGTGTATAATCCAATTCTATTTTTTTCTTGATCATCAAAATAATGATGTCCAATGACGAGAGACTTATTCGAATCATCCAATTTTTCTAGTACAGGAATTCCAATACAAGGAATTTTATTTATTAATGAATTATGTTCAAAATCTAAATATTCTTTATCAAACATAGATTGTGATGTTGCATTAAAATCTGTTTTGGTGATTTTTAATTGAACATCAAAATCTGTAATAAAGTTTAAATCTTTATAATAACCAATAACCATCCATCCGATTTTTAATTTGCAATCACGAACTTCAATTTCTTTTTGAATACAATGAATTATAAGTTTTGGATCTGCATCTGGCATACAAAGGACCTGACAGCTAAAACAATTCGTTCCTTTAAAAGAGATCATTGGAGGCTTTTCTGTATCAACAACTGTTGCAAAGATGCTACAATCATTATCCTTGATTTGAATAATTTCTGAAATTTCCTGTGTATCTAACTTAAAGACTTGTGACCTTTTATTTAGATAAAACTCGTAGGTTTCAATATTTGAATAGAGAATCCTTTTTCCTAAAGATAAAATTACTTCTTTACGCAAATGATCAGGTAAAAGCTGGAAAATTCCTATTGGTTTTTGAAATTCTATGCAATCCCAATTTCTATAATCTTTTAAAGATTGAATCCAAGCATATTCATCAAATTCTTTAAGACTAGCAGGTTGTGCTCCTCCAATCAATTTTGAACATCTAGTTTTATAGGAATTAGATTTGCCGTTAGAAGTTTTGGAAGCGATCCCACTTTTATTTATAGTACCTACATAGCCATTTTCTTTGGAATATTCCTCCAATATTTCTAACTCTCTATAATAAGCTCTTCCACCCAAAATTACTTTAGTTGGAATGAATTGACCAAATTTCTCAGTAATTTTCTTAAATTTTTTAGGATCTTTAAGATTTATGGCATTTTCCACCTCTTTAATAAACTCTGAAGTTGGTTCTAAATTTTTACCAAATTCTATTGATACCTTACCAAACTCTGTAAAATGATAGGAAATTTTTTTTTCAAATTTTGCTTTTTCAGCTTTAGACTTTTCTCCTAATATCCCTAACTTAACAAAATTCTGTAAATATATATCGCAACTAAAAAATAAGTTTGTTTTCATAACCCGATCTTCAACCGAATCAAATTCAATTTTTCCTTCGTCACATCCTTCAGCACCAATTATAGTCATTTCACAATCCTTCATTATAAATGCTCTCTCATCTGCTTTCTTATTTCCATCAAAGGTCATGCTTCGTCCAAAATCTAATTTACGCAAACGATTTAAAAATTTCCAATCATAGGTCGAGCTTTTTATTAAGTATAAATAATTCACTCGACTATCGGAATTTTTTACCACTTTTATAATTTCACTTAACTTAATATTATCCTCCTCTTCACGCCTTATTTCAACAAATATACTTGCCCTGACATGTGAAAATGAGAAGGTGTTATGCATTTTAATGAAGATATCCTCTTCGAGTATAATACGAATTTTTGATAATTCTTCATTGATATTCAAGTTGTTGAAATTGATTAATGAAGGAGGTTCGGAATGTGTGTAATTTACTATGACATCAATTTTTTTGTTTTCTTTATTTCCTTTATTTCTTTTAAAAAGAACATAATCAAGCATGAAATTTTGCATTTTGCAAATTATTTTCCAGAATAAAGATCGTTAAAAAATTAAAAGGTGAAACTTTTATACCTTTTTTCGAAATTGTGTAACCGAAATGCACCAACAAACAATGAAAACAATGAGAGGCGAATTATTTGTGTGACCCATATGATTTACCACATGATTGTCTCTTAATTGGGAATCATATAAGATTACTCAAAAAAAGAATTTTCTTTCTTAAAATTTTCTCTTGAAATGTCCAAAAAATCGTCGATTACTGCGGAAATTACTGCGGCAAGGCTAACAACGGAGCGTCAAATAGTTCAACAACTCAAGTTGAATCATGGTTTATATTTGGATGGACATGGCATACGACCAAGTAATGAAGCTATTTTTTCCGATGATGGCAGGTTGGAAATAAGCTTATATAAAGGAGAACCTATCGTTTACACTAATATAAACGATCCAACTTCTTCTACAAATTTGTTCACATTCAACAATGATGTTCGTGATAATATGAGTGAGGTTTCGTATTTACAAACTTTCGATGCTTGTATTAATTTTCCAATTGCTGAATTCATTTATGAAGGTGAATTGTTAGAATTATTTTCGAAATGTAAGGATAAAAACGACGAAAATTTAAATTTATCATATGGCCATATCTTCGCTAGAAAAGTTATGGTTGGTGGCAAATTATTTATCAAAAATTCAAATTTAGCTAGTTCAAAACAAATCGATACCATACAAACTCATTTAACTGGAATATATAATTTTACCAAATATAATAAAGAAAATCCATTCAGTAATGTCGATTGGTGTCATTTACCAAGAGTAGAAACGTCAAATGGGCAAGTGATAACATCTAAGCTGATTTTAACCAATTGGATGAATAATCTGTATCAAAAGAATATGTTTGACATAATTTCTTATAACGATATCATTCCAGTCTTTCAATTAAACCCTGATATATATGACTTTGATGACTTCGAGATACAGCCTGGGGTTGCTAATTTTGGGAAACAGTTAAGTTTTAAAAGATGGGCAGAGCACGCCAATTTATTCCTTCTATTTCAGGGTTTAACATTTAATAAGTTTTATAAGAATTATGAAGTGGAAGTTAGCAAGAAGATTGCCTTTAAGTTCATTGATATACCTGTAATAAAACCAATTAAAAGATCATACTTGAAATTTATAAAGCCGGCAACGAATTTAGACGAATTCTTCATATCTAATAATATCGCTTCAGTTAAAGATACAAGTTCATTTCCTTTTATTAAAAAATATGATAAGTTCAATAATTTAGTTAACAAGGATCATATTCATTTGGTAGTCAAATGTGAGCAATATGAAATCCTTATAGATCATGTTCATGCCAAGCACACAAAGGAATTTGAAGAATCTATTGAAATAGCACTTAAAAGTATAGAACCATATAAAGCATTACAAGATACGTTTGATGAATTTGGGCATTTATTTCCACAGAGAATTGTCTTGGGAAGATCGTTTCATAGTAATTTACCAAATATTTCATCTAATTCTTTTAATAACGTTAGCTTGGAATCTTTAAATTCTGAATCCTTAAAGTCATATTTAGATCATTTGAACGTTTCATATCTTTTAACGCATGCTGGAGAAATTATCGATATTGACAATGACGCTGAATTATCTAATTTGATTCAAGATACAAATTCTGATTTAGAAATTATTGAATTTGATAAAATAATTTCCACGTCTGATATTATCTTTCGATCAAATCAGTATAAAGATATAGCTAAATTATTAAATGTGCAAAATGATCTTAAAATTATAATGACAGGGATTACTGATTTGAAAGATTTAGATGATAATAATGTTGAGCATTATAAATATGTAAAAATAGAACCATCACTGAAAGATAGTGATTATGAAGTTTTTGGTTCGATTGTTTTAGGAAAAAAAAAACTAGAAGAATGTTTTATTAGTTTTGGGATGTATGACCTTAATGGATTCACTGCGATTATAAAAACCTCAAATTTTAGGATAACAGAATGTCATATTTTATGGTTTATTATTGGAAAACCTTCGAAATTATCTGTTTTTAGTCCGAGGAATCGATCTTTTGAAGTTGTTGATCTTATTAAGGCTCAATTTTTATTAAAACCAGATAAATCTTATTATAGGATCAATATTGAAAATACTACATTGCATGGAAATAATTACTTTTTTATTAACTCGGATTATTCAACAACAAACTTTGGTCCTAATCATATTAAGATAGCTGGTTGGGAAAGTAACGCTATTGATGTTAAGATAAGCAATTGTAATTCCATTTATGATGATGTTCAGATAATTAATTCCACTTATGATGAATCAAGGTTGTTTAAACTTGATTTAAATATATGTATTTTACGTTCAAGTTTATTAAAGATCAATAATGGAGGAGAGGAATATTCTTTAGATACAATTGGGCATAAAATGACCTTTAAAAATAGGAATCTTGATATTAAAGAATTGAAAATGATTCCTTTTAGTAATGAAGAACTTGAATGTTCATTAGGTGATTTGTTTAAGTTTTTTCTTATAATGTTAAGGTTGCGAGGAAACTCATTTAGCAAATGTCAAAAGTCGAAACCCTTTGTTTCGATTTTATAATTACGACGGTATCATCGAAATATAAGGTTTCTTGCTACTTTAAATGATCTAAATATTAACTAATTTAAACCATTAATCAAGATATTGGAACCACATATTCCGGACTTGAACGTTTAGGGAGTCAATACGATACACAAAAAGACAATACAATATCACTCTTTGATATTTGTAATTATGATTTTACTAATGTGGAATATTCTAAATTTGATATTTATTCAAATTTACGGGAGTGCTTTTCTAGAATGGGTATGTTTGCAATTATTACATCTTTAATCCTGTAATAATTTACTTATGCAAATTTTTCTTTTAGTGGCAATATATGGCAACAGACCAGAAGTTTCTTATGTAATTTTATCGGTGCCTTCAAAATTTACTTATCGAAAGTATTTTAAAATTCGAAAGTTATTAAAAGGAGGTTTATTAAATACAATTCGATTAATTTCAGCAAGTAAGTTAAAAGGTTATTATATACTTTAATTATATTGATCTGTATTAAATTATATAAATAGGTGAGGCGACTGCTATACATTGTATGAAAACGATAAGAAACGAAAATTTATTAGTTAAGCCATTGTGTTAGTATATGTTAGATATAAGCATTATGTATTCATTCATTACTTAGTTATACTAAATTTTAATTATCCATTAATAGCGCAGTTTTTAGTTGTTAATTGTGGAGGTGCTATGGTGGAGTTAACTATTAGACAACTTTTATCAGATGACACATTAGCAGAAAAATCATTGAGTTCTGGTGGACTTTGTGGATCAATTTACGTCGATAGAGAATTTCTTGAATATATAACGAAAAAAGTTGGTCCTGATGCTTTGAAAGATCTTAAAAACAACCATGGTGGACAATTAAAATTTTTGGTACAGCAATATCAAGAAATTAAACATTCATTTACTGGAAACAAGGATGATTATAATATCTGTGAAATGAATCTTGAAGAAATTTGTCCCGACATCAAACGATATGTTGCTGGAACGTATAAAGACGATTTGGAAAGAAATAAATGGATTGTCAAACTCTTCTATGATGACGTCAAGCAAATGTTTGATCCTATTATAGTACAAATTATCAAATTGATTCATGAACAACTAAATTTCAGTGAATCTTGTTTTACAATTTTTTTAGTAGGTGGTTTTAGTGAATCAAAATATTTACAAAAATGTATTGAACAAGAATTTCAGCATCTAGTTCAGAACATTTTTGTACCTGAAAAACCTATTGAGGCAGTATTAAGAGGATCGTTTCAGTATACATCCAATTTAATTTCTACAAGAGTAATCAATATGACTTATGGCATTAAACAAGATGGATTATTTAAAAGGATAGTAGATATTGGTACAGAAGTAAATGAAAAGCAGGAATTCGAACTAGAGCTAAATCCAGAAAATGAAGCAGAAATTTATATTGAAATGTATGAAACAACCGTAAAGGATCCTAAATTTTGTGACGAACTTGGTGTTAATTTATTCGGTACGATTAAATTAGGAGGTCCAAAAGTATGGTACAATCAGTTATTCCAGTCAAAACTGGTGTTTTTATTTGGTCAAAGTGAAATTCGTGTTTACATAAAAGATCAATATGGAATGTATATAAAACCTGATTTTGAAATATTAGATTGAGTATAAGCATGATGTATTTCATTAATCACTATAATATTTAACTGACCGTATCTGATTGACCAACCATTTTTTAATTAGTGAACTAAGAAATTTTCGTATTTAAATTAACAATCATTTCGTTATATATTTTTATTAATTACATGAATTGTTAAAATTTTTAATAAAAATAAAGTCCGAGATTTTTCTGCGTCACTAAATATGGTATGGAAGTAAAAGAAAACTTATGGAAAGAACATAAAGGAAAATACTTTTTAAATATGAAATTTTAAAATATGTCATCATATTTGACTCTTCTTATAAGCAAAAACTCCTGTGATATTACTGCACTTTTGAACTGGTAGTCGGTCAGAGGCCTTCAATAGACCGACCATAACCAGTTGTTACCATCCACATCCCTATTTGGGAATCTACATGTGTATAAGAAATTTATTTTAAATAATACAATTTTTATTAAAAAAATTAAAAATGATTAATGTTTCCTTACTTAAGGTTTAAAAAAGTTAAGTAATTTTATTTTGTAATTATAATAACATAAAAAATCAATGGTTCCTTCCTCCCTATAATCTTATCTTCAATCAATTAATATTTGAAAAATCTGGATCATTATCTGCAAGAAAATAATAATAATTATAATTTTTATAAAAAAAAAATTAACAATTTCTTCTCTTTATAGACTTATCTAAGAAATGAAAAAAATAAAGAATAATTAATCACAATAGTCAAAAACTAACCATTTCTATAAAGTAATTACTAATTTTTAGTTATTTATTTATTTTCTTTTAAAGTTCATCTTTCAAATTCAAAATATAATAATTATTTTACAGATATTATATAAAAAAGATAGATTTTTTTTACTTTCTACTATTATAAAAAAATTTAAAAGAAAAGATAGTAAATGTGTTTATAATATATAGATATTTAATATAATCTTCTAATTAAATTATTCTTTATTTGTCTTTTATGTTAAATTACTTCAGTCTAAATTTTTTTAAAAAAGATAAAAATAAAAAAAATAAAAAAACTCACTTATTTAACTGCAAAAGTATTTAATATAATTGAAATTTTTAGATAAATAAAATAAAATTTAAAAAATTAAATTAATAAAATAAAATATAAGAATTTACTTATTTAATAATATATCATCTAATATTAAATATAAATAAAATCAAAAATAAAATAAAATAATTAAAAATAAAAATAAATAAAGCTTACTTATATTATAATTTTAAAATAGAGATCTAAAAAAGCAGTTTAAATACAATCAAGAATCCTAAAAAAATGAAAGAAATAAAACATAAAAATATGAAAAATGAAAGAAAAAAAACTAAAAAATATAAAAAATATAAAAAAAATACAAATATATATTTATTTGATGCAATAAATAGAATATTATTTTTTTCAAATAAAAAATATTATAATTTAAGAAATAGAAAAAAAATAAATAAATATCAAAACTTAATTATTATAAAATTTAATAAATAAATATTATGAAATTAAATGATATCTATTTGATCAAAAATAATTATTAAAATATTTTTGAATAAATATAAAATATATCTAAATTTAATAGATAATGTATTATAGTAATTCAAATTAAATAAATTTTTATAAAATAAGAATTCTTTTATTAATAAAAATTGAAAAATAAAAATTTATTAAAATATAAGTATTTTAAAGATAGATATAAACTTTAATAATTAGAGATATTTATTTTAATTTAAATTAAATATATAAAAATAATATTAAAATAAGTCTTAAAATATTTTTTTATAAGTTTTAAATAAAAATAAAAAAATATATATAAATAAATATACTGAAGTTTAGCAATTAGAAGAAAATTCATACTAATTTAAAATAGTTAAAAAATAAAATACTGAGTTTTTTTATTGTAAGTCATGATAGTAAATATACTTTTTCTTATTTATTTTTTTATTTTTAATTATATATTTAATAATATAATATATGAAATAATAGCAACTTTAATAGTATTAAACAGTTCATTATATTTATTCATAAAATATCTGGTAATTATTTAATAAATAAATATTTAATTAATTTTATATTAGTTTTTAATAACCTTTTTTATATACAGACCCCGCCAAAAGTCTCTGAACGTCATCTTTCGGCTATTTTATACCAAATACATCATATGACTGTATAATACTGCGGTTATGTAATATACCTGATCTTGTTTGCTTGAATCAAAACCAAATAAAAGCGTGTTTGGTTTGTTTATTTTGATTTTTAACCAAAATAAAATTTACC